TCAGGAAAACCAGGTGTGATGAAGCATGCCCGCACCCCTGGTGCTCCTGAGTGATACATGAAGATCAGAGCTCAAGGCCAAACTTAGCTTAGAGCCTGGTCAGCATGGGGTCGGATCCATCTCTTCAAGGGCTCTGAGCACGAGAGGGCCTGGCAATATGTCACTTTGTGCCTCCCCACAAAGACAAATCAAAGCTCCACTGCTGCAGGCCCAAGTTGCCTCTGCCAAGGTCGCTGTCCTCTGGTGTGGGCCTATCTCAGAGGCCCTCTGCTGGCAACATGGGAGAATCATGAAAATTGGTAGTTTTGAAAGACTACTTTAAAAAAATGACTGCGTGTTGTGTGCATGCCACAGCATACACGTTGAGACCAGAGGATAATGTGGAGGAGTTTGGTCTCTCCTTCTACCTTGTGGGTTCTGGGGATCAAACTCCCGTCATCAGGCTTTACCACTGAGCCACCCTGATCTTCCCAGCTCCTAGGAAGGCTCCTTTTAGCAGCTTCTTGGCCTGGCTCATCTTGAGCCTACTTGATGGGGAGAGGGTGTGAGGAACAGGCTCTTTTCTGTTTGACTGCTGATACTGACAGCCTTGGTTTCTGTGAGCTCATGGCTTGATCATGCATGTGATCCCTGAGCTATAATCCCTTCCTCTCTTCCTATGAATGAAGAAACGGCCCTTCCTCAGCGTCTCACTGTAAGCTCTTCCAAGATCCGAGAGCTGCTGTCCTGGAGGCTCTGATGTTCTCTGCTCTGCCCTTCTCCAGATGATAATCCCCATGGAGGCAGAGCATCCAAAGTTCCCACTCCCTAATGCCTTTGAAGCTTTTCGATCCAGGCCAGCTCTTCCAGGCTGAGCTTACCTCGTGTTCTTTCTTTGATGTAAACTTGCTCTAGATGTTCCAAAACCCAACTGCTTGAAAGTAACTCCTTTCCCTGAGCTCAGGAGCTGTGGTCCCAGAGTGGGGATGTAGCAAGCAGCCTGACCAATTCACAAACAGCAGACAGAAAGCATACGAGTTGCAACTTTGGGCTTTTAGGATGAATACAAAGCCAGAGTGATTAAAAAGGAACCTGGGGCTGGGGATGTGGTTCAGTGCACAACAAAAGCCCTGAGTTCATTCACCAACACTGCAAACAGTTGTGGGGTGCATGCTTATAATCCCAACACTCCAGGAGGCAGGAAGATCAGAAGTTCAAGATCATCCATGACTATACAGTTTGGTGTCAGGCTGGACTATATGAAATCCTGTCTAAAATTTTTTAAAATTTAAATAAAAAACAGAGAATTGGAAAAAAATTATCTTAGTTGTTTTGAGATTTCAGGCAGCCCAGGTTGGCCTCAAACTTGCTATGAAGCAGATGGCCCTGAACTCCTTCTTCTACTTCCTGTGTGCTGGGATTACAGATGTGGGCCATCTTGTTTGACAAACTACTCAAAGACTGTAGAGAACCAGCTTGGAAAATACTTAGGAAGGAGGGTGGGCGGCTGTTTGCTGCCAGTGTGACGTCAAGTACAGCTGCTGCCTGGATGCTCAGTGGGAACCAGCTGTTCCCAACGCTGCAGCCTCAGCACCCGAGTAAGTGGTTATCCTTGTTTCCGCCCCTTCAATCTGTGTCTGATTCAGTGTGGGCAGATGTAACTGGCTGATTCAGACCAGGTCTCAGGAAAGCTGTTTGCTTTCCTGATGGGAGTTGTATTGGTTGCTTTCTCCACTGGTGTTAACAAAATGCCTGGCAGGAACCACTCACTGCAGTGTTTACAGTGGCTCAGAGTTGGAGGGCACAGTCCACCATGTTGGGGAAGGCAGGCAGTGTGAGCGGTATGAGACACCTGCTGTCTGGGGCCAGAGATGTGAATGCTAATGCATCGCAGGACCGCAGCCTAGGCTGTCACCTTCGGAGTGGGCCTTCCCTCCTTAGCTAGGCATTTCTGGGAACATCCTGAGTTATGTTTTCACAGTGATTCTAATTCCCACCAAGTTGACTGTCACTATTAACTACCACAGGAGACCCTAGCAGCCTTTCAGGACTTGAACAGGAAGTCTAAATGCTGCACAGCAACTTAAAAGCAAAAACCTTCCTCAAAATCACAGGCGTGGATGCTGAGTCAAGAGGGGAGAACTTCCTTCCAAAAGGCGCAGGGCCAAGAAAAATACGTTTCATCTCCTGTGTGGATACCAACCCACAGACTGAAGGGGCAGCACCGAGCAATCCCAGGTGGCCTATAGCATGTTTCTTCCCACACAAGTCATTCAAAAAGATGCAGCTGCTTCCCTCCCGCCAGCCTGGGCATCTGCCTCCTGAGGATAATTGTTTGTGGATGACTACACATATTAACACGATTTCCTGTGCTGGTCTTTTAACTGGCCAAGACCAAAGCAGAGTGCCAGGTACTCGTGCCCATGATGAGCACACAGGAGGCAGAGGTGTAGATGCAAATGTGAGGCTAGCCTGCTCTACATAGCAAGCAGCAGGCAGAGCTACACAGTGAGTGTCAAAAGAGAAGACGGTCAGGGCAGAGAAGGTCCAACAAGAGACTGACACACAGGGACCTGAGACTTTACAAACCCAACTACATGACAGCCACTCCAGCAGGTTCCCTGCCCCACCAGCCATCAGCTGAAAACCCTCCCGGAGTGAGACAAGACAATCTCAGTGTCTGGTCTACAGGGACTGCAAGAAGGTAACCGCACTCATACGCACACAGGCATGTATACACGTAATTAAAAAGAAAAATTTAGGAAAGATCCCTGCAGACTTAACTATTAAGTGCCAGGTGTTAGGAACTTAAGAAACTAAGTAGCCAGAATTTAGTGGCATCTGGCAATTTTGGATTTCAAAGAATGACAACAAAGTAGAGCTTTGTAGTTAAATGCCACACCACAAACACTCTGGAGTGCAAGGACTCCTAAGATCTGGCTGAACCACTGCTCCATTTGACCTCTATTCACTTTCAGCTGTCGTTTCAAGGGACTTGGTTTACAGCACTCTTAGGAAATCGGTTCTGACCTAACCCACTGTCCAGGATGAAGTTTCAGACGGCTGGGGTTCGTCCCCTGTATCGACAAGTTGTGCTGTCGAGAATCGAAATGAGCATTACCCGTTTTCTCATTTTCATGTGTATGTGAACAGAGGTCGGAGGTTGATAATCATTCCACAGGGCCTTCTTTCAAGTCCAGAGCTCATCAATATGCCACTGGTAACCACAGGTGGACTGCTACGTCTACCTGGTACATGTTCCAGGGATCCTAACTCTGGTTTGGCAAGCGTTTTACCTCTGTGGTCAGACAAGGCAGTGCATGCGTTTACTTATTTATTGGTTTTACCAGCCAGGGTTTCTCTGTGTAGCTTTGGTGCTGGCCTGGAACTCACTTGGTAGCCCAGGCTGGCCTTGAACTCACAGAGATCCGCCTGCCTCTGCCTCCCGAGTGCTGGGATTAAAGGCGTGTGCCACCACCGCCCCGTGCATGCTTTTAATCCTAGCATTCTTAGGAGATAGAGACAGGAGGCTCTGTGAATTCAGCCTGCTCTCACAGGAAAACTGTCCCAGTTCAACTCTCACAGCAAGAGAGGTGCGAGACCATCGAGTAACTTAGCAAAGACTTCTCTCTCTCTCCTGTCAGGGCACTTCATTCAAACATTTCTTATTCCTACAGATATGTGTATAGGCATGTGCCTGTCATTGCACTCGTGTGTAGGTAAGAGGATAACCGTGGCTGTCAGTGTTTGCCTTCCACCTTCTTAAACACAGGATTCTGGTTGTGACAAGGCAAGACAGTGCAGAGGTTCCTCCATTTTGTATTTTTGTTGAGGCCATTTCAGGCTTAACTAGAATTTGATCTCCTTGATGGAGAATCCCATGGAAAATCACCCTATTCCAGGAATCTGAGGTCAAGATGCCCCAGGTAACTTGGCTTGTTAATTTGTTTGCTTGTGCAAAACCTCTCCCTCCAGCCGCAGAACAAGATACTAGCATGTGCTTTTTGCCTTTAAAAGCCTCCTGTTCAAATGATTGGGCTACACTTGGGTCCCAAATACCTGGTGTAGTCCCAGCTAACTGAAATACTTTCAAAACTGGCTACACTGTGGTTCAGTGGTCATCTCTGTGGACTCTCCTTAGTTGTCCAAGGATTTACCCATTTCTCCTTCCATCTTGCTGTAGGGATGCTGGAATTGTACAGGCCCTACAATGCCTGTATTTTAAGTAGTTTCTGGGGATTTGAACTCATGTTATTCATCTCCCCAGACCAATTATGTGTTCTGGAAAAAAATTAAAACAAAAAAAACCCCAAAACAAAACCCATCCAACCAAAAAACCCCACCATTTAAAAGTTAGGAACATACAAAAGGGTACCACTTTTATGTCCAGTTCATGTGTGCACATGTGGAGGTCAGAGGCCGGGCGGTGGTGGCGCACGCCTTTAATCCCAGCACTCGGGAGGCAGAGGCAGGCGGATCTCTGTGAGTTCGAGGCCAGCCTGGTCTCCAAAGCGAGTTCCAGGAAAGGCGCAAAGCTACACAGAGAAACCCTGTCTCGAAAAAAACCAAAAAAACAAAACAAAACATGTGGAGGTCAGAAGTTACGTTGGCATATCTTCCTCAGTTGCTTCCCACCTTACTGTTGAGACAGGGTCTCTCACTGAACATGGAATTGCATTTGGCTAGACCAGCAGGCCAGGAAGCTCCGGGACCCGCCTGTCTCTGGCTCCATAGAATTGGAGTTCCATGCACTGCTGTGCCTGGCACTTTTTGTGGATGCTGAACTCAGGTCCTAGTATTTGTGCAGTGGACACGTTATCCACTGAGTCACCTTCTCAGCCCCAGTGACAGACACCACTGAAGGTGTTCATTAATTTCCTCCCAATAGTCTTTGCCCTTCTGTATCTGCAGCATTTTCAGGGGCTCCAGGTTATTGCTAAGGTCCAAGAAATAAAAAACAAGCCTATTTTTGTTATATCACCGTGACCCTCTTATAGCAAAAGGGAAAGGTACAAAAGGCATTAGAACAAAGACATGGTTTATTTATGGGAGTATTTAAAAATAAAATATTATCATCATAATAAAAGGCAGAAAGATCCTAAAGGTGATTGAAAAAGTTCATTTTTAAAGAGAAAGGGGAAATTAGGGCAAAGTCAGTCTGGGTGGAAAGCCGTTCCCTTCAGTGGGAGAACTGCCTACGGTCTGCGGTCTTCTTGCTGATGTGTTTAAAGATCTTGGACTTCTCCACTTTCTTTGTTTTCTGGTAGCCGAATCTACCACCACCTCCTCTCTTTTTAAGCTTGCCATCATGGCTGCTCACGTCTACAGGTGAATGTTAAGGAAGCCAAGCAACAAGGGACAAGCTACATTAGAGAAAACCCCAACATGCCCAGCACCACCCCTGTGCCAGTCTCTGCTAGACAAACGGAGACGTGGGGCCTAAGGCTGAACAAGGAACCTGCAGGAGACCAGGAGGGACAATAAGCTTGTACACCAAAATGAACAGGAATGACTTTAACCAATCCGTCCTGGAATTCCCTCAGAGTTACTACAGCAGCATTCAAAGTAGTCTTCTTCATATCTGGTTCTTTCTTCTGAAAATAGCGAGTCAATACACACACACACACACACACACACACACACACACACACACACACACAGCCTGCAATAGAACTAACTGGGAAGTTCCTTTTACCTTTATCGGGAGCAAGGCTTAGGTTTGTTTTCTGTACCAGCCTTCCCATTTCCTTGTAGATAAATAACCCTCCGACGGCTAATGAGGCTGGGAACTCTGAAAGCTCTTATCCACTCTCTTCAGCTGCTACTTCCCATCTCTCTGCTTCTACTCAGAAGACACAACTACCTGCCTTTCACTGACAGTCGTGTTTCTCTCTCTCTCCCTCCCCTTCTCTCTCTCTCGAATATTATTCTGTGTGTATGGATGTAGTGTGTCATAACTTTGAGATGTTTGGTTCTCTCCGTCCACTGTGGGTCCTGGGAATCAAACATGGGTTGCCAGGCTTGCTGGGAAAATGCTTTTATCCACCATGCCATCCTTAGTACTTTACAGACTTAAATCCTGAGCTGCCTTATTCTGGTAATTCCCACCTCGGTGACAAGTCCTTGCCGACCCTCTTCCTAGTCCCATGTCCTATGCTACTGCAGACAGACAAACATGGGCTAGGATAAACTCAGAGCCTTTGGCTGGCAGCTGTTCCAACTCACTGCTAAGTCCCAACAGCCCCACTAAGGCCCTTAATTGCAGCACAATGTAATAACAAAGAAAAGGATACTCAGATCCACGAAAGGAGGGACCTTAAAACCAAAAGACAGAGCGACCTGAGGCAAATTTAAGTTGTTCACATTAAAGATCTGCTTGAGGGAGTGCGAGTCATACGCTCGAATGTAGGACTTGTATGCTTCCTGTGCAGACTTATGGAGAAAGTAGTTCTTTTCAATCAGCTTTTCCAGCTGAAACAGAAGGAAAACAGGCAGACCTCAATTATCAGAATAGTTATCCTATAAAAACACTCATCCTAGTACACCTGATCTGGCTTTGAACTCTTGGGAAACCAGGCAGAAGGAAACCTTAAGGACCCCATAGTGCAAGCCAGCATCATTCCCAAGTGGGAGGGAGCTTGGGAGAGTGACTGCTTGGGAGAGTAAGGCAGTACTGGGACAGACAGGTGATCTCTTCCCCAGAAGACAACGGAAAAAAACAAAAGCATACCTGAGACTGAATGTCAGAAACTTTAGACCAGGAAAAGTCAAACTGATTCAATGGAACCTAGAGAAACCAAGTTCACATATCAGTAAGAGGCACTCAGTTTTAGCTGCATGAAGGGTGAAGTGTCCCATAAGCAGCAACAGCAGGGACAGTTCTGGTTCTGAAGACAGATGCCTGGGCTTGTGGAACCCCCAGGACGGACTGTGATTCGCTGCTTGCTGCCTCCTGTCATTACGGCGTTCCATCTCTGCCCTGCTGAGACTGCACGAATCCTGTGTGGAAACCCTGCATTTCTTCCCTCCTCAAAAGCTGAGGGAAGATGAGCAGAGGCCAGTGGCTGCTAAGGCTCTTCCCCAGGAGCTCCCAGACCCTGACCTTCAGGGTGATAAACGACTACCTACATTTTCCTTTTTCCTAACAGGGTTTCACTACGTAGTCCTGGCTGGTCTTGAAGCTGCTGAGATCCTTCTGCCTCTGCGTCTTGATTGCGGGATTATAGGTGTGTAATCCATGCCAGAGAGGACTACCTCTTTTTCTCTATACCAGGAGAGGGGCCTCAATACCACTCTGCCTTGTGTCTGGTGCATGACACCAAGCCCATGCTTGGATGACTCCAACTCCCCCAAGGATTCATCACTTATTATCTCTTACTTAACTGGGAAAGCTCAGAACCTGTGTTTATGCTATAGATTGGGGAAGAAAATAGGTCTATAAGGGCTGGCTCCCGCCCTCCCCTCAGAGAGCATGCTTGTAGTCCTACAGAGAACGCAGGTAAGTGATGGAGCAACCTGTCAAGGTGCATTTGTGTGCTGGGAGCACAGAAGGTTAGAGGTTAGACAATGTGCTGAAACTGGTGTTCTGAGAGATCCAGGAAGAGCAGCTGGCGAGGGTGCAGAGGCCTCAGGGCAACTTCAGGGAACTGTGCCGTATTGTAGGAAAGGGAAAATCCACGTGGTAGGACTGCCAGGAGGGTGTCACGGTGCCAGTGTCAGGGACAAGCAGGCCTGCCACGTACCCACTAGGTCCATCAAGAAGCAGGCCAAATGCAGTCTGGACGCATTCTGTCCTGGCAAGCTGGGATAAGGGCAAAGCCAGGCAGGCTGGGGATTGAGGAGATGGTGACCAGAAAATATACAGACCACTTTCCTAAAGAGGCAGACTGAGGAGGCAGAGCCAGTGGCGGTGGTCAGCCCTGAAGAGAATGGCAGGAGGCTGAGTTGAGGGATAAAGCAGAGCTGCAGAGGGAGACTTGGGAGCACAAGGACCAGAATGTGTTGGAAAGAGGGAGGGAGGGAGGGAGGAGGCTGGCACAGGAGAGCACAGATCTGATGCTCTTCTAAAAGATCTGCACAATGAACTGCAGGGATGCTGGGGAGTGGGTGGAGCTGACCAGGGCTGACCAGGGCTGCAGAGCTCCATCAGGCAGAGGAAACAGAGCTGGGGACTGAGCTCCGGCTCACTCCTGTCAATGCCTCCTGGGCCAGGAGCACGTATCATCTCACCCAGTGCCCTGCGGCACCACCTCAATTGCAGCTAACCCCTACTCTATAGAGACGGTACCTGAGAAGAAGCCTCATAGCAAGAGGAACTTCCTCCCAACTTAAGACTCTCCAAACAAAGGCCCTTACCTTGGATTGCTTCAGGTAACGAAGGAAACCCAACTCTTCAGGGCGTAGGATGAGCAGCGCGTGCCCTCTCCCATTCAGGCCCCTGGCCGTTCTACCCACACGATGAATGTATTCCTGTGGCAAGGCAAGAAAGCTGGGTTATGACTCTTCATGAGTCCACAACCAGCATTTTCACTGTGTCCTGTGATGGAAGGAAGCACGCCAGCACCCCTGCACCAATCACAGGGCAGGGCCAACTTCACCACCCCTGCTAACATTGGGCCAGCATTCCCTCTGCAGACACCACCCCTCAACAGGGCCAAACACCAAGGCAAGAGAGGCTGCACACATCAGCCATACCAACAAACGTAATAGAAGCCTCAAAGCCAGTCACATCAACACTGACCCAGTAAGATAACTATTAGGTGTAGTTCATCTTCAAAGTAACCTATGAAAATGATGTTTCAAAGCTAGCTGACAATTTACTATAACTCACTGCTGATTAAAAGGACTCCTTTTGTGCATGGTGTATGCACGCATGTGTGGAAGTCAGAGGTGCAGGCCAAGTGTCTTACTCTGTTGTTCTCCACCTTGTTTTTTGAGGCAGGATCTCTCACTGAACCTGGAGCTTGCTGTTTCAGTGAGGTAGCTGCACAAGCCCCCAGATCCCATTTGTCTCCGTCCTCTTCCTTCCTCCTGCCACTGCTGGGGTTACAGATGTGCTCTACCAGGCCTGGTCTTTACAGGGATACTTATCTACTACAAACACTGACTTTTATCTACTTCCTAGGGTTTCAGATGTGCTCTACCAGGCCTGGCCTTTACATGGGTACTTAACTACTACAAACATTACTGACTTTTATCTACTTCCTTATACAATTGCCATTTCCTTCTGATACTAGTTGGACACAACAGTCCAAGGATCTCACATTCCTAACCCAAAGTCACAGACACCCCTCAAACCTCTTCGCATACCCCTTTTGGCCCCACGAGGTCCCTGACACCTGTCAACACCAGTAATACCCTCCATGTGACGGAGCGGCTGTTCCGTACAGGGAAGCATCATGGACATGAGAGGACATGCCTCTGTAGACAGCAAGCGCACTCCTCCACATAGATCCATTCTGAAGACACCTGTTACCTTGGGGTCATCGGGAGGGTCATACTGAACAATCCAGTCCACTTCCGGGATGTCCAGCCCTCTGGCGGCCACATCTGTGCACAGCAGTATCCCTGAATCTGCATTGCAGAATTGGAAGAACGTGGTTGTTCGCTTATTCTGCTTTTGCCTTCCCTAGATTCAAAAGCAACAAGAGCACAAACCCATTCAAGTTGTTTCTGAGAGGAGAATGGAGAACCAGTCAACTGTGGAGCTGCTACACTTTAGCTCAAGCTTACTCTGGCCCAGGCCCTACATGCCCAAATGAACCCCAAGCCCTTGAGAGGACGGGTGTCTCTCATTCCTTTTTTAGTACTTTCTTCTTAAGATTTTTATTGCACGTGTCTAGTTATGACAGTTTCGTGTGACCTATCATATATTCCGCTCACACTGACCCCATCACCCTTTCCTGCAGATTCTTTCCTCTTCCCAGTTCATGCCCTTCTCCCTCCATGTCTGTGTGTGATCTGATGAGCTTACAGGATCACAGGTGAGGGGTGCTTGCAGGCACATGGGCACCAACCCGTGCTACACCACTGAAGAAATGTCTAACAACCATAGCTTCCTGTAGATCCTCAGGGAGGGGTGGAGCCTTGTGAGCCCCTCCCACTGTCCAATCTTCTTCAAGTAATCACAGCTGCTCTCAGATCCTTGTCCCCTCCCCATGCACACTGATATCAGCTGGGAGATAAACCATTCAAACCTATGTTCAAAGGGAGTAAGTAATACCTCCAATCCCAAAATGCACAGAACTTCATTCACAGGCTTACCCCTTCCCAACAAGCTCATCGCCACCACTTACATGGATGGCCAAGACAGGCAGGTCAATGTAGTTCAGTAGCTCATAGTGGTACTTCACAGACATACATGATGAAAAGAAGACCATCACTTTCTTCTTCCGGTTCTTCTTAAGGAATGTGAAGAGCAGAAGGAACCTCTTCTCAGAGGGACACACAACATATCCCTGAAATGGTACAAGTGAATAGATTACTCACAAAGGCATTTTTTTAGCTTCATTAAGCAAAAAAATGTGTCTGAACACAGTAATATACTGCAGGGCCTTTCTGCCACATGTAAGGACGATATCAACTCCAATTACATGGAACTGTTTACTCATCCAAACTTTACCTTGGGGCTACGAAGACAGCTCAGCAGGTAAAGGTGAATGCTGGGTAAGTGTGGCAGCCACCATGTAATCCCAGTGCTCAGGAGATGGGATTCGTGGGGCCACCTGGCTAGCTAGATTAACTAAGTATGTAGGCCCTGGGTTCAAATTAGACTCTCCTCAGTATTCAAATGGCGAGTCATCAGGAAGACACCTGACATCACATGCATGCATGCACTCTCTCAAACACACACACTTTCTCAAGATGAAACTTGTTTTTCTTGAACTCAGACCCAACACCTCTTCTCTACCTTGCACAGCAATGTGCCTGCGCCCCCAAGCCAGTGTCCTCTCTATCACCCAACTCTCTGGCACTTTATGTTACAGAGATTACTAAAACCAAGTTCTAGCTGCATTTCAAATCAGCAGCGACTGATAATGCTTCCCCCACAAAAAGCAGCATCAACAGAACAGACAGACACTGGCTGGACCATCGAGTTCACATGTCTATTGCTCTGACTTATGTCCATCAATCCATTTGCTCTGTGGATCATTCTGAACAAGCACAAGAAAACACCAAGTAAGACCCTATGGCTTTCCTTATTTACTTTTTAATATGTATAAGCTACTTATAAACAATACCTGCTCAAGCCCATCCACCGTGGCAACCTCTTTATCGTCATCAACACCCACATACAATGGCTCTTTTTTCAGAGAAATTCTTGCCAAGTCTTCAACTTTTCGAGTTTGTGTGGCAGAAAAGAGCATAGTTTGCCTGCGTACTGAAAAGACACAATAACCAAACCTTCCGAAGAATATCACAATCACTTCATGATTACACGTCAAGCAGAAATTCCAGGAGGAGGGGCTATGCTATTGGTGTGGATTCTCCAGATATCAGAGTAAAAAGGTGATACTGTGAATTCTAGGTCTACAAACATGGTAACTTAGGCGAAACGGACAAATCCATCCTAAGCAAAGGAAACCCAAGTGGTGGGTAGTTAAAGCTTCACCAGCTCCCATCAATGCCTTCTTGAAGATATTCATGAGAAAAGGAGCCAAAGAACCTCACAACAACTTGTAGTGAACATGTATAGGAAATGTCAGCAGCTGCAGAGAGCACACACACCTGTCAACAGCTGAATGAATAAGCGTACTGTACTCACAATGCAGCACCCGAAAATCTCAAATAAGTTGCATGGTAAAAGAGAAGTACATACTGCCCGCCCCACTACACCTACACACTTCAGAAAACGTAGGCTCATGTACAAGGAGAGAGAAAGCTGGTTAACAGTTGAAACGGAAGTTACTTGTGTGGGGGTGGGGAACTGCAAATGGGCATGCATGATTTCTGAGTTGGAGGACATGCCTATCATCTTGCTTGCGGTTATGATTTTCAAGGGCTACACACATTAGAGTAACAAAAACTACAGATTTTAACTTGAATGGTCTACTTACTATTTTTAATTATGTGTTTGTGTGTCTATGTAGTAAATAAAGTGCCCTCAGAAGCCAGAGGGTTAGATTCCCTGGGAGCTAGAGTTACAAGTGGTGGCCATGTGGTGTGGGTGATGGGAACCAAGCTTGGGTCCTCTGCTGAGCTATCTCTCTAGGCCCTAATTTATTTTTTTTGAGTTAGGGTCTCACGTAGCTCTGGGGTCAAACTGTCTAGAGTCAAGGTCTCAGGGATGACCTTGAACTCTTGCTTCCATGTCCAGTTAATTACATCAGGTTTCTTCTGTCAATTATATATTTCTGTACAGCACTGTACAACAAGGTACAGGATCATGGCTTTCTTATAAACAGAAGCAATTTATCATGAAGAAAGACTTCTGCCATGAATAGAACACAGAAAGAAAGACTGCCTCCATGGAGATAAGAACAGGCACAACAGAGGAGGGACTCAGCCCAACAGCTCAACTCCTACAAGGAATCTTAGAGCCACAGTAAAATTCCGGTATTAAAACAGTCCTTGTCCTACAAGATCTCCAACATGGACACCTAACAACTCCGTGAGCCCCATGCAAATGCCGCCTACTTACCTGGCAAAAGTTTAATAATTTGCTTTAATTCTTCCTCAAACCCAACATCCAAGATTCGATCAGCCTCATCAATAACCAGACACTGGAGGTTCTTGTACATAAACCCTGGAGTATTCTGCATGTGGTCTAGGAGCCGGCCTGGGGTGGCCACGATGATGTTGATGCCATTGACAAGCTTCTGCGCTTCAGCAGACCTGTTACTGCCACCCATGATTAGCCCATACGTGTGAACATGGTGTGTCATCAGTTCCTTCAGAACACCGAAGGTCTGCATGGCCAGTTCTCTGGTAGGGGAGAGAATCAGGACTCCTGTTCCTAAAAGGCAAAAGGCGACAGAAGGCCGTCTCCACAAGTCCTTATGAGGCTCACCTCCTATTAAGTGACAGCAGAAAGACAGAGACACTTACCATTCCTGGGCATGAACTTCAACTTGACAATGAGCTCGATCACAGGGATGAGGAAAGCAAGGGTTTTGCCGCTGCCTGTTTTCGCAGCTGCCAGAAGATCCCTTAGCATGGCAGAAGAGAAGGACACTCATTCAAGTCATGCAGATGCACACTCAACACCCCCACAGCAAGGAGCATGTTCTAGGCACTAAGTGAGAATCCCAAAACACGGTCCCTGCCTAGCCACCTCGGCATGCACCTAACCCACAAAGAAAGACTGCTACAATTTTCTTCAAACACTAGTAAATAACCTACGCCTTTAACACAGTCAGGCATGAATCTATACAGAGAACAAAATCAGCGGGAACATACACATAGTTCTTTTACAACTCCAGTCTCGAGAGTAGACAGGAGGGTCCCAGTATCAGTGTCCACCATACCTGCCTTCCAGAAGTGGCCTGATACTTTTATGTTGGATCTCGGTCATGCGCTTGAAGCCCATTTCTTCTATAGCCTTCAGAGTGTTTTCATTGACGAGGTTCGACAAGGAAGCAAATGAAGTGTCTTCAAAAGCACCTAAGTGGAGGATTGGTCACTGTCAGAAGGCTGCTCTGTTCTGAGTGAATGCTGCCACAGCCGCCTAAATCCATGCCGGTTCTTAAGAGTATCTTACAGCAAGAAGGGACTAATGCTCAATCACTGCTAACAGGTAATAATGAGAAGAGTCCACAGAGAAATGACAGTGTAAATATTGGGGCTGGAGAGAGGGCTCAGTGGTTAAGAGCACTTGCTGCCATTGCAGAGGACCTGGGTGTGGTTCAGCTCCCACAGTGGCTCTTAACCATCCATAATTCCTGTCTCAGGAGTAAAAGGACTTCTAACCTTCATGGGCACCAGGCATACATGGTGCAATACACACATGCTGGCAAAGTACCATAGACATAGAAAATAAATAAATTAAACGTAATAAAAACTGAAGGCTAAAACAAAACAAAAAAGGAGACAACCTGACTCCAACAAGATACCGAGAAAGCGACAGCATCCTGTGGCTCTTTGTAGTCAGGGCACCAGAGCGCTCCCATGACCCACATACTCAGCCATGCCCTGACCTCAGCTGTGGCTTCTTGGCTTGGCAGTAATGGTGGTCCTTATTTGTGACTGATGGTCACCTCCAGGCCTTCTTCCTTCCGGTTGTGGGAAAATACACCCACAACCAAACCTTGACTTGCATTTTCAGTGTGGCATTTGATAAATTAATAGGGATGTAATAGTTTCTAAAAATAGGCTTTGTTGGATGATTTTTTCTTCCAACTGGAGGCCAAATAAGAGTTCTGAGCATAAGACTCCTAGCAATGAGGGATATAGAACCTGAACCTTCGACCTACAATTTGTTCTGCCTACAAGATGTGCTGAGGTAAAGGTGGCACAGAAACTGTGGGAGCGGCCAACCAATGACTGGTTCATCCTCAGACCCATGCCATGAGAGGGAGCTCACCCGACTTTGCCGGGAGCGCCAGGAACCAGAGGTTGGACAGCCCAGAGACTTAGGATAGAACTAAACACAACTGGCAGCGTGTGCGTATGTGTGCTGCCAATGGAATGATTTCTAATGATATCTGCCATCCTCATCGGCTGGCACCTGGCCCAACTGTCATCAGAGGCTTCCCCCAGCAACTGATGGAAACAGATGCAGAGACCCCAGCCAAACGTCAGGAGGGTTGGGGGAAGGACTGTAGGAGTCAGTGGGTTCAAGGACACCATGAGAAAACCTAAAAAAAAAAAAATTAACAAACCTGGGCTCATAGGGGCTCACAGAGACTGAATTACCAACCAGGGAGTCCGCATGGGACTGACATAGGCTCTCTGCACATATGTTGCATGGTCTTCTTGTGGGATTCATAATAGAGGGAGCAAGGGCTGTCTCTGACTCTGTTGCTTGCTTTTGGGACCCTTTCCTCCTATTGGGTTGCCTTAATAGCAGGGGAGGTGCCTAGTCTCACTGCAACTTGATATGCCATGGCTGACTGATATACACAGGAGGCCTGCCCTTTTCTCAAGAGAAATGGAGGAGTGGATGAGGTGGGGGAGAAGAGGGGAGGGGGTAGGAATGGAGCAACTGGAAGGAGAGGAGAGGAAACTATGGTTGGGATACAAAAACAAACAAACAATACAAGAGTTCTGAGCACGTTTCTTCAACTTTAGCAAGTTTACTGGGATACAGCCCACATCTGAACTGACACTGGGCTGGAGAATTCTCCTTTTGAGTTTAGGAATTCTGGACCTTGTGTACGCTGGGTGAGGTGCTATCCTATGTATCCTGATGCTGTGTGGAACCCGACCTCCACACTAGATGTCAGCAGACTGTCTAGTCACTCTGGGAATGTAGAACTTTTGGTGCTAATTCTGGACATTTCTGGGTAAACCAGAAGAGTTAGTTGCTTGACTTGGGGTGAGAAATTGTCCAGGCTGAGAACCACCTCTATAACTTGCCTGTTTTTCTCTTTTCTCTGTAGACTGTTTAGTACTATACCACCAGCTCACTTTAGCAATCTTGATTAAGCATTAAAATGGTCCAACCACTGGGCAGTGGTGGCGCAAGCCTTTAATCCCAGCACTCGGGAGGCAGAGGCAGGTGGATCTCTGTGAGTTCGAGGCCAGCCTGGTCTACAGAGCTAGTCCAGGACAGGCTCCAAAGCTACAGAGAAACCCTGCCTCGAAAAACAAACAAACAAAAAACCAAAAAAAAAAAAAAGGTTCAACCTCAGTATTTTAACAAGGAAGAAAGCAAGCAAACAAAATCCCCTAAGTCAAACAGCTCAAACAACTAGATAGTTCTGACTGGAACACTAAATTCCAATCTAAATTCTTGAACTTTAAGGATCCCAGCAGCTGTGAGAACATGAAAGGATAGAAATATCAGGAAAGCAGAGAAAGAGAAAGAAGGATGGAGAAAGTGCCGCGGTACCACAAAGTAGAAGATAAAGGAAAAGAGCACAAAGACATAAGAGTCACTGCTTGCCGACAATCATTTTCCCTGGTAACGAAAAGTCACACGGGAACCTTCAATCATGCAACGGAGAAAAGTGACACTTGCAAGCAAAGTCCCTGGCCGTCACCACCTGTCAGTCCGAGGGGCAGGCTGGGCTCCTCCCTGTCATCTGGCTCCTCCACACCATCTTCTGCTTCCTCGTGAGCCCCAATGCTTTCTTCGGTTTTCGGTTTTTTGGTGTCTTGGTTTAAAAAACAAACAAATAAAAAGTAAACAATAAACCCCCTTTATTAAAATAACAAATGAAAACCAAAGATCTGTAATGTAGAGAAATATTTTTCAAAGTTTAACATTATTCCACATTTATTTGTTAGAAACCTTTTTCAGGAAGACACTTGTTCAATGTTTAAAATTTTGGGGTACAAATGACTTGCAAACAAAACAAATGTTTTAAAGTTTCTTAAAGGATTACACTATCCTTAAAAAGAATTTAAGCCGGTGGCGCACGTCTTTAATCCCAGCACTCAGGAGGTAGAGGCAGGCGGATCTCTGTGAGTTTGAGGCCAGCCTGGTTTACAGAGCGAGATCCAGGACAGGCAGCAAAACTACACAGAGAAACCATCTCGAAAAACTAAAATAAATAAATAAAATAAAATAAAATAAAAAAATTTAAGTTCCACTAACTAATATCAGGACAGCTCATACTTCACGAGGAAAGCAGCTCATTTCAATTAAAGCAATTTTAAATTAAATTCATACAAACACCAATATTTTCTCTTCTTGCCATTACATGTCTGCAAGTCACTTCTGCTTTGAAGATGAACACTAAAAGCTCGGGGCTGTTCCTGTTCCAGACAGTTAAGACTGAAGCAAGGGCAAGGATTCCTTAGCTGGGTGACTGAAACTGGATTGCTGGGAAGTTGTTTTAGTGGAGGAGGAAAGGCAGAGCTTTCCAGCTTCTCACTTCTGTATTCGACTTTCACAGGATGGTCCCAATCTACCTTTCTAGTAGATTCTACCCGGGACTCTGCACACTGGGTTCACTGAGCTGGGAGAGGTTGCTGACCTGGCTCACCCTACCCCAATTTGTTCACATCTCAACAAGTGGCTCATTCATCCCTTCACCAGAATTTACTATCCCCTTCCTTCCTCCTGCTCTTCAAACACTGCCCTGTACTTTCTGCTCACTGGAAATAAGTTTTTTATTTATTCACAATTTTCCTACATGATATTTTATATGCTCTGCAAGGAAGTCTCCTTATGAGGGAGGGCGTTACAGAAAATACATGGGCAAAAGACAAGTAAAAAAGGGGTACCTTATAAAATTATCAAGTACCTTCACACAAAAAAGCCCAGATACTTGCCATCACCAGGCCAGATCCATACAGTGCTAATTAAAGTTCTGAAACTCTGAAACATGCACAATGCAAGCACTATGCCACGGCATATTCAGCTTACTTAAAAAGCCCAACTAACTGCTCCCCCGACTCCTCAGTACAGTATTAACTCTAAAGAAATTATTACCAAAGGTGAACTTTTCCAAGGTTAGTGAATGTAAAAACACAACACAAATTTAGGGGAAAGTTAAAACTCACTTCCCTGAATCCCCACATTTTAGTAAACGTGTCTTCCAGCTGCCAGACTAGTCTCTCATATGCTGGCGTACACAGGGGATGCTGTACACACACACAATGGAGGGACGTGAACAGCTGAAAAGCTACCTGAGTGACCGACAGTCAAAGAAAACAAACCTACCAGGCCCAGCATCATTTGCCATTTTCCTCTTTTTCTTCTTCTTTTTCTTTTTTGGTTCTGAATCAGGAGAAGGCGTTGCTGCTGTTTCCCCATTGGTTAAAGTGGTAGGCTTTTGGGGTGATCTTTTAGCTTTCGAGTTTTGCACTGTCTCTTCAAGCATGCCTCCACTTTGTGCTTCTGCTGAGCCCACATTCACAGAATGTTTCATGGCTTTCTTAACTTTTCCGACTCTGACTTTAGGCCCATCTCTGTTTTGAGGCTCTGACAGGCTCGTGTCTGATGCTTCTGTTAAAAAACACTGAACTTATTACATTGTAACACGGAAGAGGAAGCTTACCTATAACATCGACCTTCCAGGGAGAAATTCCATGGTTTTGGGAATTCCAACCATTTAGTTTTCCTTCTATGTTCACTGTGGAAAACCACCTGTTCATGCTCTATTATAGAAAAGGCACCCCCCCTTTTTTTTTTTTTAAGAAAAAAGTATCAGAAAAGTAAAGTTGCTTTATTTTAACTTCAAAAGAGCTTATCTCATCCGACAATGTGGTGCATGCCTGTAATTCCAGCACTCGGGAGGCATGGGAAGATAGATCTTTTTGAGTTTGAGGCTAGCCTGGTCTACAAAGCAGTTCCAGCTTTGTACAGCCAGTCAGGGATCCAGAGAAACCCTGAAAAACCAAAAGAAGAAAGAAAGAAAAAACAAAAACAAAACGAAAACCTTATCTATTTAAGGCTATAGAGGAAAATGCCAACAATGTCACATGTCACATAATTAAGTCAATGGCGTTAAAAAGCAGCAAGGAGAAGACATATTTCTGACATTAAGTATTTGATAAACATAATTGAATGACATTTATTTCATACTCCCACAACTATTGCTTATATAATTTCACATCATTCAAATCCAACTTTTCTAGACTTTGGTGAACTGAAAATTCAGTTAATGAAAACTACTTATTTACCCTATTAAAGCTCCAAACTATCTTTACAAAGTTTCCCTGTTCATAGAAAAAGGAGTTTACATTACCCACATCAGGTAGCTACTAATTAGTGTTAATTATTCTACAGGAACTAAATGAAGGAACTTGCCTTAAATCCACGCCCCCCCCCTCCGCCCAGGTTTTCTTTCAATTACTACCCGTTGCATATTATGTGGGATGTGAAAATAAGCACCAGCACTCCACAGGGTCGCATATCTGATATTTACATTACGATCCGTAACAGGGGCAAAATTAGTTATGAAGAAGCAACGAAATAATTTTATGGGCGGGGGTCACCATAACAGTAGGAAGGTTGGGGACCACTGATTTATATCTTACAGGTAACCTTAACAAGCTACAGAAACTGCAACAGCAAAGGTGACATTTGTGTCAACTTTTCATTTACGTCGCTGTGCAGAAAAACAAGACGTTAAGGGATTTACAAACTAAGTTGGGCAGGACAAGAACACGGGGAGGGTTCTGTGCTTAACATGTGATGAGGATTGCTGCAGGAATGAGGAGAACCCGCTTGGACAGACGGCAGAAGACAGCAGTTGGGAATGCGTTGGGGAAAGCAGTATCACTGATGGTAAAGAGCCGAGAAAAAAAATTCCTAAGCTCGGGCGAGAGATGAGATCCAGCAATTAAATAAAAGGAATGGAAATGTCTAATACCTAGATCTATAAAGTTCTATGATGGGGGACTCTAAGATGAAGGCTGATACATAAGTTTTGTTGTATGCCCAGCCAACGGAAGCCTGGGAACCAAACCCAGGCCTCCTGCTCCGATCCTGAACCAAGAAACCCACGCTGGCAAAGTCTGGGACCAAAACCACGGGGGGCTGAGACCCAGGCGGCCTGCCCGTGCCGTGCGTCCCAGGCGCCCGCCGGAAGCTGCCCGGCGCACGGCGGAGTTTCGGGGTTCCCGATGTCGTTCGCCACCGCGGGGTTCAGCAGAGCTCACCTTGCAGCTTCAGGTTTCGCTGCCGCAGCTTGACGTTCCGCTTCTCGATCTTCTTGCGCAGGAGTTTCATCTGTAAGTGCGACATGTTGCCCGGCCGCACGAGCAGGCTGCGCGGAGCAGCGGGTGCACGTGCGCAGTTGGAACACGGAAGTGTGTGTCGCGGGACCCTGCCGACCCGCGGGGCGGAAATGCTTCTGGGCGGAAACGGTTCCCGGCGCGCGCTAGGGGGCTCTTTGGAGACAGAGTTCCGCGCAGCGCCTCCTGAGGGAGTGGAGGACGCATTGTGAACGTGCTCGCCTGGGATGGCGCGCGACGGTACAAAGGCAGTTCGAGTTTTCCAGAACTGAACAAAACCGGCCGATTGGAAGACAGAATTTATCGTGGCTCAGATTCTGTTCCCTTCACTGCTGTTTTGTTTTTCAAGACAGGGTTTCTCTGTGCAAAAGCTTTGGCTGTCCTGGAACTCGCTCTGTAGACCAGGCAGGCCTCGAACTCACAGAGATCTACCTGCCTCTGTGTCCCGAGCACGGTTAAGTCTTTAAAGCTTCTTGCTTGGGAGGTGGGAGTGCAAGTGGATTTCTGTGAGTTCGAGACCAGCCTCGTCCACATGGCAGGGTCTAGGCCAGTCCCTCCCACTAAAAACAAACAAAAAAGAACCTCCTTGCTTAGGTGCTGTATTACTCAAGTGTCTTTTTTCACAACATAGTTATCCGTCAATTATTCAGGGCTTTCTAAATTATTTATTTATTTATTTATTGCTAGTTGTGTGGGAGATGTATGATAAACTCCATAGATAAAACACTGCATTTTTACAGGACTTCCATGAAGACAGAAACACAGTTACAGAACACACACTGTCAGGGAAGTTCATGTACCACCTGAGAAAGGTCCTAGCCTCAGAGTGGACATTTGAGTGAAGTCTTCGCTCAGCATCCATTGTGCGTAGATGTGTGTGTGTGTGTGGCCATGCAGATAGAGTCTTCAGTGTTAGTGCTGGGTATTGAACTCAAGACCTCTGTCATGTAGGCAGCCACTATACCAACTGAGCTCCTGTGTGTAGAAATTTTAATTGGGGCTGGGGAGATGGCTCAGTCTGGAAAGTGATTGCCTCGAAAGTGCAAAGACCGGAGTTCCATCTACTCCCTGTAGAGAGAAAGCCAGTTGTAGTGGGCCTCAGTGGCCAGCATCCTGGTGAGACCGAGACCCAGTAGAAACCATGTCTCAAGGTGGATCGTGCCTGAGAAATAACATCTGTGATGACAATTCTTGGTTGTCAACTTGACCACATCTGGAATGAACTACAGTACAGAAATGGAGGGCACACCTGTGAGAGATTATTTTTGCTTGGTTTGAAGTGGATGAATCCACTTCTAGTCCAGACCTTTGAGGTGGGAAGACACATGCCTTTGATCCAGATCTTGAGGTTGGAAGATACACCTTTAATCTGGGCCACACCTTCTGCTGGGAGACTTTTGCTTATCGCCTGCTTGCCCTCACCTTGCTAGCACACCCATTCCTCCACTGGCTTCAGAGTCTACTTCTTTGGGATTCCAGCATATACTGAAGACCAGCTATGAAGTGTGATCCTAATTAGTCTTACCAATAAAACCCGGAGTCAGAAGTTGAAGTTGAAAACTGAAAGATCAGAGAAGCAGAGCAACAGCCACTAAGAGATTGTTTACTTCTACAACATCTCAGGTCAGATGAGATCCTGTCTCTACGAATCCTCAGACTTAATGGGGGTCAAGATCCTGTCTCCACCCTGCTGTAGAATATTATTGTAAGGTGTGTTACTTTTGTTTATGTTGCATTTGTTTAACTCTGTGAAGCTGTGTTACTCTGCCTGTCTAAAACATCTGATGGTCTAGTAAAGAGCTGGATGGCCAATAGTGAGGCAGGAGAGAGAAATGGGTGGGGCTGGCAGGCAGAGTGAATAAATAGAGAAGAGAGATGGAGGCATGGAAAAAGAAGAAGTAGCCAGAGAAGGAGGAGGACTCCAGGGGCCACCCGCTACACAGCAAGTCATGAAGCAAGAGTAAGATTTACAGAAGGAAGAGAACAGGAAAAGCCCAGAGGCAAAGGGTAGATGGGATAATTTAAAGTTAAGGAAGGCTGGCAAGAAAGAAGCCAAGCTAAGGCCAGACATTTATAATTAAGAATAAGCCTCCGTGAGTGATTTATTTGGGAGCTGGGTGGTGGGCCCCCCAAAAGAAAAAACAAACAAACAAACAACACCCGCCTTACATTCCTGTCTCCACCTCCCAAGTGCTAGGATCAAAGGCGTGTACCACCATTGTGCGGTTCTGTTTCTCTTTTAGACTGGTTCAATCTTGTGTAGCCCAAGGTGGCCTTGAACTCCTGATCTTCCTGCTTCCTTCTCCCAAGTGCTGGGATTAAAGGTGTGTGCCACCACTGCCTGGCCTCTATGGTTAACTATTTGCTAGCTCTGCCCTCTGATCTCCAGGCAAGATTTGCCACAACACAAAATATCACAAAACACAGCTGAAACATCCAGTCATGTGGGCTGAACAAGTACTGAATTTTTGGATTTTCTGTTCATGGCCAGCCATTGTTGGATTAGCTGGGCTGCAGCCTATAAGTCATTCCAATAAATCTCTTTATATATGCGCGCGCGCACACACACACACACATATGTATGCATGTATGTATGTATGCATGTATACACACAGAGACAGCAACAAAGACAGTGATATTCATTCTATAAGTTCTGTTACTCCAGGGAACCCTGACTAACACAACGTCCTGATTAACCCTGACTAACAACGTCCAAACACATCCTTTGATCAACACACACACATGCACACACACACACATACCCTGGGGCATTTAATTTACAGAGGCTATGCCTTACCCATTCTATTCTGTGAATTTTCTCCTGGGATCCTTAAACTAAAAGTGGTGTTTGTAAAGTAGAAAGTAGATTCATACACTTTAATCAAAAGAGAAGGGCTTTGATTCATGGGCTAGAAGAAATCAGTCTATTTTACCAGCACCTTAGAATTGTTAGAAATAATGGACACATCTGTGTCAACCTCTTAACTGAGGCTTTTTTTGGCGGGGTGGTGGTGGTGGTGGTGGTTTCAAGACAGCGTTTCTCTGTGTACTTTTGGTGCCTGTCTTGAATCTTGCTCCGTAGACCAGGCTGACTTCTGAGTGCTGGGATTAAAGGTGTGCACCATCACCGCCTGGTGAACTAGGGCTTTTTTTTTCAAACTTTCTTTTTGTTGTGTTGGGGGTCAAACCCAGGTCTTTAGGTATAATAGGCAAGTTCTTTACATCCTCAGACCACATTAGGACTCTTGAAGTTAATTTCTATGAACTTTCGAATGCCATTTTTCTGCAAAATTCACCACTCTGCAGTGCATAGGAGTTTTCAAAGGGCCACATTACTGTAAATTAGCAGGCCTTTGCCGTCTCACAGCCTGACTGTCTTTAGGCAATCAGATGGCGGATTCTAGTTGGCAGAGTCTAGTAGTAACATTGTGAGAGCTACAGGGCCATCTAAATTTAGATATGTTCTCTCTCTCTCTCTCTCTCTCTCTCTCTCTCTCTCTCTCTGTCTCTGTGTGTGTGTGTATGTGCACATGCACAGGTGCCTGTGCAGGGCACAAGTCAATGTCCAGTGTCTTCTTCAACAGCAAGTCTGTCTTATTTTTTGAGACAAGAGTCTCTCACTGAATGGGGAGCTCACTGATTCAACTAGACTATTCAGCCAGCACTCCCCAGAAATCTTACCGTCTCTATCCTTGGAGTGTCAAGATTATAGACGTGTGCCACTGAGTCCATCCTTTACTTGGTTGATGGGATTTAAACTCAGGTCTTCATGCTTGCACAGCAGGTTCTTTCCCAAGTGCGGTGGTATGAATAAAAATGGTCCATAGGCCCACAAGGAGTGGCACTATTAGGAGGTGTGGCCTTGTTGGAGGAAGTGTGTCACCGGGGGCGGGCTTTGAGGTCTTAGGTGCTTGAGCTATGCCCAGTGTGACAGTCTCTTCCTTCTGCTTGCAGATCCAGATGTAGAAATCTCAGCTACTTCTCCAGTGCCATGTCTGCCTGCATGCCACCATGCTTCCTGCCGTGATGCTGATGGACCTAATCCTGTGAAACTGTAAGCCAGTCCCAGTTAAATATTTTCCTTTACAAGAGCTGCCGTGGTCATGGTGTCTCTTCACAGCAATAGAAACCCTAACTAAGACACCAAGTGCTTAAAAATTATAAGACACCAAGCCTCTTAAAAATTATATTTTAATTACTGTCCATGGGAAACCTGGACAGATAGATTCAGGATTCAGCTACAAATCCAAATGTAAATAATCTTAATTTCTTTGAAATCTTGATGTTGCTGATCTCATCTTTTAAAGGGATACCTGGTTACATTAAAATTAATTGTTGTCAGGTGGTGGTGGCACACACCTTTACTCCTAGCCCTCAGGAGGCAGAGGCAGGCAGATCTCTGTGAGTTTGAGGCCAGCCTGGTCTACAGAGTGAGTTCTAGGACAGCCAGGGTTACACAAAGAAACCCTGTCTTGGAAAACAAAAAGCAAAACACAACGAGAACAAAAACAATTGTTCACTTTGGGTTATGCTATACACTCTGGACACATTTTATATCAAGTATTTATTAGACATTTGAAGATATTCATAATTAGCCATTGTGTTGGTATCTGAGTTGTATCTGAGTTTTGGCCTAACATTAAAAAGTTGTCTCATGTTTTGGACTTGGATAGTTTTTGCTTTAAACTTATATATTATTTATTTAGTAAGATGTCTGTGTGTGTACCTAGCATGTGTGTAGAGATCAGAGGACAACTTGTGGGAGCTGGCTCTCTTCTCTGAACTCAGGTAATCAAGCTTGGCCATAGGGCGCCTTTATCCACAGAAATCTCTTCTGCCCCTGAATAGTTTAGGTTATGTATATGCTAACGATGCGTTAAATAAGCTTGTGAATGGTCTGCTGAGAGGAAGCTCATTGGGAGTTTCCATGTTATCACACCCACGGTGTTCTGCTGTGCTTTGCTACTTCAGTTGGAGTCTAATATTTTCCAGTTTTGCTTATTAAAACATCTAGTTGATTGAACATGTCAGTTCTTTTATCCCCAATCCCCCCTCCCCATCTCTTTCATTATCTTTTCTACCTGCAGAGAGACCCAGGGAAAGCC